GACAATTTTCTAGAAACCTGGGCAGCTATTTCTTCTTCAAAACTTTCGTGCACCCAAAAATCGCAAAAAAATTAAATATAACTTTTTTGTAGACCGCTGGCACCGCGTAACTTATCACGAAGGCGGTGCTCTCTGCCTTGCTAGTACGCCTTTCTCCTTGGAGCATCGCGGAGCTTTTGCCGTTACTGGCAGTAAAACCTATGTGCGGATCAAAGCTCTGCACTACACAGAAGGTAATTTACGACAAGCAATTGGTGAAGTGCCAAATTGGTTAGCTGTAACTCACACTCTGTTTTTCTTTTCTAGATAATTTGGTAGGATTGCATGATCTCGGACAGTCGCGCGTGACTGATGATAATGGTAAAGATGTAGAGGTAAACCTCCTCTAATTTTGTTACTGAAAAAGATATGCGAAGTCTTAGGTGCTGAATGTGAGCCTTGATCCAACCATGGAATGTCGTCCACTTCCATGTAAACTTCGCTATTCGGTCGGATATGCGGACAAAGCTATCAGGTTACTATTTAGTTTTCGCTTTCATCAAAAAAATAAAGATCATTCTCCAGAACATATGTTGCCTTACTGACGGGTCAGCATGAATTTACTGTAGCCGAAAAATTTATTGCTCAAATAGAGCCACTTCACTGCGTCGCACTGGTAAGATCACAACCATTTTCCTAGAGAACTCCAGAAAGAGATAGTCTTTTAGATGATATGCTTCCATGGGAGGCCCATGGGTTGCTATGCAGCAAGCGGCAAAACATTGCAGGTTTGGAATGACCTCGACAGACATCAGCAAAAAAAGATGAAAAGTGAAAGGATGGAATTACGCAAGGTAAAAGAGTTTTAAGTGCGATCCCTACTCAATTACATTCTTATAATTAGATGGAAGTGACTATATCGTCAATGGCAAGAGTAGAAGGAAGATCCTGCTACCTCATACTTGGATATAAAGACAGTCGAGTACAGATTTTTGAAGAAAGGGGAAAAGGAACTGGCAAGCTAGACTCGGTCGGATGGATAGACGATTGCCATCCGAACTGCGACATACGTCCTGTTACGGGTTGGTTGAGTATGGTCTTGATGTAAGCCGTTTTATGTCGAAAGAAGAGTCTCTTTCGATAGCAAAAGGAGAGCAATCTTTTTGAACGCAGACGAAATATAGGCGTCCGCGTGGCGACGCGGAAGCGTG